CATCATTGTTGTTTGGAGGGCCCGGGCTGGATTCGAACCTGCCACCTTAGGTGTATGTGGCTGGCACCTTAGCCACTTGAGCCACAGGCACCGAGCTGAAATCACATAAAACTTGAACTACATTGCACCTACCTTGTTTCATGTCTTGTTCTAGTCTGTCTGATCATTTCTGTCTGATCCACTAATCAGAGAATTCATTGTCTCTGCAAGAGACATCTCTTAACATTATAAACTGCTGACCCCTCCTCTTTACTTATTTGGTCCTAGGTTTTTCAGATGGTCCATTAGATCTCAATTTCCCCTTGTTCTTGACCACCAGGACAGTGACACTCTTTTTCCCTCTGTTAGGACCCTCTGGAGAGAGGATGTTCCCTGGTTCTTGGCTCCCAGTGTTAAGAATGAACACTGGTGCCTAGTGGATGATGGAGCGATCACAAACACAAAGTGACCACCAGCAGCATACATTTATTGCCAAACAAAAGTATACAAACCACAGGTAAAATACATCTCAAGAGTGAGATGGTTCCCTCCCACAAGTGGAAAAGAGACCCCAGAGTCTTAAGACACATTGTCTTTCATAAGCTAACTAAACTTACTAGTTGTGCCCCCCTCCCCATCTCCCAGCAGGATTGGCTATTGCCTCCCACTTTTGGGGTAACCGACAGTTTGGGGTTATATAACAAAACTACTTAATAGGCATGTGTTTTTCCTTGAACCTTGGCAAACAACACATGGGGGTCGAAACCTGTAAGTTCAATTATATGATAATGATCCCAGGTGAGTGTAAGTTCACTAGGGGCTCCTTGCTATTTGTTCCGACTGGGAAACGGTCCCCAGCCAGTAACTTGGTTCCTACTCCCCACCCCCCAGCCACACCTCTTGGTCTCCTGTTCTATCAGAGGGAAGCCTTAGCTGGGGCGGTCCATCACCTCCCAATCCCAGCGGCTCTCACCCTACCTGTCACAGAAAGAAGCTGGAGGCCGAGATGGCATGTTCCTCCATTAGGCACAGCATCCCTGGAGGGCAGGACAGGCTGTGTCCTGGGGCAGCAGCGCCACTGGAGCTGTTGCCCACTCCCACTGCAGCTGCAGGAGCTCGTTCATTTGCCTGTTGGAGCTCCCGCATCAAGGGTTCCAGCAAAAGCCAAGCTTACAAGGCAGGCGCTCTTACAGGCTGCCTCCTTCCTGGAAGTGTGGGCCTGTTTTCCAGGAGCCTGACAGTAATTTGGTGCTAACATCCTAACTTGGCCCTTGCAACAAGAACAAATGTCCAGAGGCAGATTCCCTGTGGTAGCTTGCGCTGGGGGTTCCCAAACATGGCGGACACCAGAACATGGAGTCCTGAGCTTGGCAGGCCTGGCACTCTGGGGCTCCTTGTTGGCGGAGCCTGTCTTCCCTTTCTTCCTGAGCTTAGAGTCTCTCAATGGGATCATCAGGTACAGCCTCACCATTCCCTGGATACCTGGAAATTACCCTAGTTCAAATACACAGAGAGGCTGGAAACCACATTCAAAAATCTTCCACTTGATGGCACTGTTGATGCAGAAATACCAACCAATTTGCCACTCAAACCTCTTCCACCATTTGAAGATGAAAAAGCACCAAGAAAGGAAAAAAGTAAATTAGGGGCTATGAGTGGAGTTTATTCTCTTGGGGTGGTAAAGGAAATGATATTCATTCTTATCACACTCTTGGTGGGAAATGGTTCATCAAGGGAATAGATACAGGCCAGGTGTGGTGGCTCACACATGTAATCCTAGCACTCTAGGAAGCCGAGGCAGGTGAATTGCTTAAGTTCAGGAGTTAAAGCTCACCCTGTGCTACACCAAGACTTCGTCTCTAAAAATAGCCGGGTGTTGTGGTGGGCTCCTGTAGTCCCAGCTACTTGGGAGGCTGAGGCAAGAGAATTGCTTAAACCCAAGAGTTTGAGGTTGCTGTGAGCTGTGCCTCCACAGCACTCTATTAAGGGCGATAAAATGAGACTGTCTCAAAAAAAAAAAGGAACAGATACCATGTTTCCCTGAAAATAAGACACTGTCTTATATTTCTTTTTTCTCAAGAAGACACACTAGGGCTTATTTTCAGGGGATCTTACTCTCCACACCAAAATGCATGGCGTGGCTATGCAGATACGCTGCATAGCCATGCCCATCACTAGGTCTTATTATCAGGGTAGGGCTTATATTTAACAAATGCATAGGAATCCTGCTAGGGCTTATTTTTTGGGTAGGTCTTATTTTTGGGGAAACAGTATATTAATGAATCCCTTGCTAAATCATTCCCTTATGACTTTTAAGTCTGATTATCAAGTAATGGAGTCTCCAGTTTTCTTTTTTATTTTTTTTTGAGACAGAGTCTTAAGGTCCTGTGGCATCACAGCTCACAGCAACCTCAAACTCTTGGGCTTAAGCAATTCTCTTGCGTCCGCCTCCCAAGTAGTTGGGACTATAGGCACCCACCACAATGCCTGGCAATTCTTTGGTTGTAGTTGTCATTGTTGTTTGGCAGGCCCAGGCTGGATTCAAACCTGCCAGCTCCAGTGTATGTGGCTGGCGCCCTAGCCACTGAGCTACAAGGTATCCAGCCTAGTCTCCAGTTTTCTGAGTACACCTTGTGGGAATCACATGGGTCCTCTTGGGTAAAATTGTTGGTCTTAAGGAGATACTGAGTCATAGCCTCAAATTCGATGAGTATCTATTTCCCCTCTGATCCTGCAGTCATTACATCTATTTTGTCCCTCAAGGACCCAGGACTACCCCCAAGGAATCAAGGCAAACACATGTAAGCAATAAAATAAATGCCTAGGAGCAATCCTGAGAGACAGTAAGCCATTGTGGGAGCAGCAGGAATAGATCTAGGTGCCTATCCTGTGAGAAGACTGGGACGATGTAGCCCTGGGTCACCTACAAGGGTCTAAAGTAGTTACCCCCCTTGTGTACCCAGATTGAGGTTCCCCGGGTCAGTAGGAGAGCCCAGTGTCTCACCACAGGTATGGGACCTCGGTGAGGGCCTTTGGTTCTGTAGCCCCTGGTGGGCAGCTGTATACTGGAGTGTGGCTGTGCTTTCCACTCAGTGTCTACAAGTTATAAGTTCACTCATGCATTTATTCATGCATTCATTAATGCATATATACCAACACCCTTTCATCCTTAAATTTGTGTGTGCAGATATGTGTGTTTTCCCCTTTTGATTTTTTTTTTTTTTTGA